CTCCAGCCTGGGCTACAGACTTAGACTCTGTATGGAAAAAACAAAACAAAACAAAAAACCATCAAGGGAGTGAAAAGACCCACGGAATGGGAGAAGACAAACACTGGCAAATCATAGACGTAAGGGATTCATCTCCAGCATATATAAAGAACCACAGCCCTACAATAAACCCAGTTTAAAAATGGGCAGAGGCCCGTCATCCCAGCACTCTGGGAGGCCAAGGCGGGTGGATCACCTGAGGTCAGGAGTTTGAGACCAGCCTGGTCGACATGGAGAAACCCTGTCTCTACTAAATAAAAATTAGCCAGGTGTGGTGGTGCCCGTGCCACGCTGTACGCTCCACCGCCAGCCTACTCTGACGAGCGCTTGACGGCAGAAGAACTGCTTGAGCCTGGGAGGCGGAGGTTTCAGTGAGCCAAGGTTGCACCACTGCACTCCAGCCTGGGCGACAGAGCGAGACTCCATCTCAAAAAAAAAAAAAAAAAGGACATACAAACAGACCATAAGCAACTGAAAAGATCCCACATCATTAATTAGGGAAGTGCAAATTAAGACAAACCTAAGGTACCACTTCACACCCATTAGGACGGCTGTTAGCAAAAAAAACAAAGTGTTGGTGAAAATGTGGAGAAACCGGACCCTCTGTGCAGCGCTGGCTGGAACGGGAAATGGTGCAGCCACCGTGCAAACAGTTTGGTGGTTCCTCAAAAAGCTAAACATGGAATTCTAACAAGATCCAGCAATGCTACTCTCGGAAATTGGAAGCAGAGACTCAGTATTTACGCCCAAGTTCACAGCAGCCTATTCCCAGCCAGGGGCTGGAAGCCACGCCCGTGTCCAGACGACGGGTAAACACGTGGTCTCTCCTCGCGTGGGACAGTCCTCGGCCGTAAAAACGAAGGAGGCTCTGAGAGCCTCCAGCCTGGGGGACCCTGGGGACACTGTGCCAAGAGGAGTCAGTCAGACACAGAAGGTCGTGCGCAGTTACAGGTCATCTGTGTGGCGTCTCTGCAACAGCCAAGTTCAGAGACAGCAGAATGGTGCGTGCCAGCGCTGGAGGAGCCAGGGTTTGAAGGGGACAGAGCAAGTTGTGGAGACGATGGTGCTGACGGTTGCAGGGCAGTGTAACCAGCCCCTAGGGGAAGAGGGAGGGTGTGCAGCGTCTCGACCCTCCAGCCAGGCTGGCCACAGGCAGTGCTAGAGCGAGGGCGTGTACAAATCAAGGCCAGTGGCAACTTGTCAGTAAAAGACGCCACAGCAGTCACCCCGTTCTTCAGGCACGCTGCGGAGTCGGGACCTGGCTGGGTATGCACCTGTCCCAGCGCCCACCGAGACTGTCAGCCACGAGGCCATCCTCTGGGCTGTGGGCAAGGCTGGGGCGTGGGCTGTGGAGGCGGGGAGGACACCTGGCCCCTGGCTCCTGTCAGGCCTGCGCTGCAGCAGCAAGTGCACTGGTTAGAGGATGCCTCAGTTAGACTGATGTTTTAAACTCTGCAGTTTTACTGGATTAATAAAGTCAAGGCCGGGCACGGTGGCTCACACCTGTAATCCCAGCACTTTGGGAGGCCGAGGCGGGCGGATCACGAGGTCAGGAGATCGAGACCAAACTGGCTAAC